AGCAACCTCTTCTTCTTCATCGTCTTCATAGCCGTCATCAACTGAATATGGATTATATGTTTCGGCAATTGTGGCACTCTTTTGGAATCGGGTATCACTGTGCATATTCTAAAATTGGCTATTGAGCGCTGCCACTTGTTGAGCCAATTGACCTAAATTGTCAAACTCTTGCCCAAGCAGCCTCTCTCTCCACATTGGCAACATTCCTTGAACGGCCAAAGCAGCTAGCTGATCATCGGTCAAGTTCAATGAGAAGCACAAATTCCTGGTCTCTAGGAATCTCTAAAGAAACTCGATGCCCGATTCATTAGTTCTCTGTCTTATGGTCGTCAAATTGGTAATTTTCTTTTCTCCTATCCCAGTATAAAAATATGTATGAAACTTCTTCTCTAGGTCAGCCCAATTAGCAATGGAGTTAACTGGCAGCAATGAAAACCAAGTAAAGGCTAGCCCTGACAGAGACAAGGAGAAGAAACAAACTCGATGGGCCTCTTCAATGGATGCTTCATCTAACTGTGTAAGATATCGACTGACATGTTCTATTGTACTTGTGCTATCTTGGCCAGTGAACTTAGCAAACTTCGGGAGCCTATAATTTGTAGGGAGAGCGACCAGATCATACCACTCTGGATATGGGCGTTTGTACGAGAAGGTCTGCCCTTTTGGCTTTAAACCGAACTGATTCTTCATCATCTCGGTCACTCTAATCAACAACTCATCAGCATTTGAATTTGGATTTCTCTGCAATTGCTGACCCATCTGTGGATTAAAATTTCGGGTACCTTGATACCCTGGATTTGGAATCATGTGAAGGGTGTTGTAATCTGTGCTATAATGATATCCTTGTGGAATCTCTATCTGCTGGGTCCTTTGCTGGTTTGCTGCTTGAAGTCTCTGGTTGTAGATGCTAGGATCTATATCTCTATGAATCCTTTGAACTCATGCCGCTATTTTTTGAGCCGATGACGGTATTTGGCCTGATGTGCCAAAATTGACCATTTGATTCTAAACTTACCCGTCAATTTGTTGCACATCTTTGCTGACGATCTAGGATTATCTTCAGTATCTAATTAGCAGTAGCACCTTGAACTTGCTCAGATGAACTCTGAACTGCTTGGACATCATCATTACCAACTGGTGCTGCTTCTTAATGGCTAGTACCGGCTTGATTAGTCCCCTGAGTCAACGGATGTAGAATATTATAGTAAACCGGTCCAACCTGATCAATTGGATATCCATAAAACACCTCTTTCATGGTGTTGTGGAATGTATTCAAGAAGACTGTATTATGGTTTAATATGGCATCATGAATAGATTTGTTTATAGCTTCTACGAAGAAACGCCTATCTTTAGCTTCGTCCGTATCCGACTACCCATGCAACGGAACTCTTGGTAGTGGATATTTCTGAACAACTTTATTGTCACGTGTCTTGGTGTAGGATAACAAACACTTGTTCTAAAATTCTTCTATAGCTTTGCTGATGAAATCTTTATCTTCATCAAGTAGGTCTTCATAAGGTACCGTAAGGATGTCATTGTTGTTGTAAGTTGCCATGACGATTGTGGTGTCCCCACCGGTGCGCGCGAAGCGTGTGTCGGTAGCAAAATGTGTCGATGCACCGAGCACACAGCAAGCCAAAAGGATCTACTTAGGACGAGCCCAGAGATCCGCTTGGCTTCAATCGCATGATCCGTCGACCCAGAGAATTTCTCCTAAGACGTGCCAGTCAATTTGACCTGCAATTGACAAGGAGAGAAAGTTTATCAGTAATTTAAGGTGGAACATGCCGGTCTTGCGCAGACAGTTCCAAGTGTGCCGCTTTGGGAGCAGCCAGACAGGAAAATCGACTAAATAGCCGATACGCGAGGAAATCGGCTGTTACGGACCGTAAAGCTTATGGGTCACGATTGATTTTATATTGACAAGTACAATGCCCGCAAATGTAAGTAAAATCATCAGCTAGATGGATATTACCAGTGTGACACATTGAGCCGATGAATCTAACGAGAAAGGATATAACATGCGAACAAATCGACTGTCTAGTGTGAATGGATCTACAAACGCTCTAAATCTAATATGTTATCATCAATAGTGAGGTTTGACCAGATCAATGGCAGCTATAATGATAATAACAAACTAAAACCAAAAAATCTGTAAAACCATCTATATATTGATAGGCTTTTCGAAAGACATGCTATATGTGTAAAAGCTCAAGCGGATCAGCTGAAATAGCCGATTCAGGTGGGAAAGGGATTACAGTATGTGAACAATTGACTATTTAACATGGACAAATCTATGAACGCATCAGACTTAATCTGCTACCTCTAGCAGTGGGGTTCGACCGGATCGATGGCAGCTGTGGTAAAGATAACAAATCAAATCTCCAAAGTAAACAGATCTATCCACATTCAATAGAATCATGAAGACACCCTGTAGGCGTTAAAGCATAGGCGATCGGCTATTTAGCCGATGCCAGCATAGAAAACAGTTAAGGTCATGCCTAATCGAGAACAAATCTACCAACTAGCATCCTTCGATCTAAAGTGCCATCAGTGGGGATTGACCGGATCGTTGCAGCCATAACAGCGAACTATAGACCAGATTTAACTAGCCAGCAAACCTCCTCAAGATCGGACATGCCTTAACCATGTACTATGCACGATCAAGATCAAAGTAGAACAGCCGATGAAACATAACCCATCGCTCAAAGTAAGAAACATCGTATTGTAACAAAGCAAACGACGGACTAAAAGGATATGAGGCCAATCTAGATCGATCTCGACCGGGCAAGTTGATATTGCTAAAAACTAATGACGATAAGAACATCAGTAAGATCGGTAACTTAATGAATCTACCCGAAGGACGCCACCCTTAGGTAGAGCCGATAACTTGACCTTAATCTAATTCGAGCAGTGGAGGTCGAACTTAACCAATGCAGCCGTACTTGAACTAGATAAGAGTCGATAACTAGCTTATACTAGAGTTCGCAGTGGAGGTCGAACTTAACCGATGCAGCGTACAAACAGAAGTATAAGCCATGACGGTACTTACAGACAAGTCAGAGGTCAGCCGGACCAATGCAGCCCTGCTTGTTGAAGAACTCATCGAGATCTACACTACTCCTACTCCTAAGGGTTGGCGTAAAGCCGAAAAAAGTTAACTTGTATTGATTGATTGGATGTCTTCTTTACAATAGCCGGGGTCCAATATTTATACCCAGAGCCTAAGCATGAATCCTACTCAAGTACGACTCGTTACAATCTTTGGTATAAAAGGAAACAATCCTAACTTAAGATAACTTGAACCCTAATCTTTCCCTTTTTGTAGAGTCCGACATGTATTTTCCGACGCCAACCGTAGCTCATTGTCGTTATCTGCTGACGTCATTCGAAGAGAGTCGATTCCAGTGCTGCATCTGAATCAGCTGATATCGATCCTTATGTAATCGATTCCTTGATAGACACAATCTTGGAAGCTTTGAGTTCTCACGTTCTTCTCCCCAAATTTTGGTGTAAACACTAATATAACCAAATTTAAGTAATTCATCAAATATTCGGTCACATTTAGAGAAATCAAAAGTAAACTTCACTTCTTCATTCTGATTCTTATGAATCAGCTTGAGAGAAGGACATGTAACTAATTTATTTTCTACTAGCCATCTAATTTCAGTAGCATAACAGTCTCTATTTTCATCGTCCGAACCATCAGAATAGATATCTATAACATGCACATTCGTACGATGTGACCTATAAGCATCACGAGACTCTTTGAGGCGCGATTCAACTGAAACGGCCTTTTGCAACAGTTGATTAACGTTAACAAACTCATAATGCTCAAGTTTCTCTCTAATGTTAGGACGTAGGCCAGCAAAACATAAATCAGTCAAGTCTCTTTCAGAAGTCTTTAAATGAAAGCATCGGTTCTTGAATTCTCTGAATCGTTTGAAAAAATCAAGGACAGACTCATCACGCCCTTCACGAACCAATGTAAGGTGAGACAGTCTAGTTTCATGAGCACCATTATAAAAATAATTATGAAATTTCTCTTCTAATTCAGCCCATGAACGGATAGAACAAGCTGGTAATGAAGTAAACCATGCAAAAGCTGTGCCGGTAAGTGACAAAGGAAAATTATGAACTTTCATGAAATCATAGGCACTAGCTTCACCTAATTGTGCAGGAAACATGCTAATATTCTCCATGGTTGATTTACTATCATCACCACTAAATTTATTAAAACCTAGTACCCTCCACCCGTTAGGTGCTTTCATGAAATCAAAATGCGAAGGTTACGACTTACAGTATGTAGTCCTACTAGGCTTGATTTGTACACCCAAGCTTTTCTCAAGTGATTTAGACAATTCTTCTCTAAACCGATTCAAAGTATCACTCAAATCGGTATTAGGAGCGGTAGGTGCATTATCAAGTATAGGGATTTGACTTGGTGACTTCGGCGAGTTAGGAAGAACTGTGTTTTGCCCTGCCGAAGCTCGGTTTGCTGCTGATCTTTGATTGGTTTGTGTGTTTCGAGCCGAATTTTGATCATAGATAACCAATTGTAAACATGGAGCAACACCGGCTAAACCGGCCTTATCGGTTTCAAATGCCGAAGGGGCCGATTTGCCTTTGTTTGCTGCTGCATATAATCCTTGATTCTCATAAAAATTTAAAGGCATACTGAATTTAGGTTGTTTAGAAGTAGAAACAACACCTAATTGATTACCATCGGTTGTTTTCCCTTCTAACTTATCAAAACAAGCCATGATCATATTTACCGCAGCTAAAAGATTATTATCAATTACTTTCTTATGATCATCCATCATAGTAGCGTAATTGGCATGCGTAGGATAAGGATCAATATATGAATCATCGTCATACTTGGGTTTGTCGGTGGTCCTTACCTCAGGTGCAGCGTGTGCGGATGATGTAGAAGTGATCAATTCGCTGAAATCTGGCTCCTTGTATTGGTTGACCTTGTCCCGCCGATCTTTAGTGCAACTCTAAAGAAAAGCCTTCAGAATGGCGTTGAACTTGACCTCCACTTGTTGCTTCAGCTCCTCGGGAAGCTCTTCAACGGACTTAGGATGGTTGATGTTAGCATCATGAGAGACGCTAGTCTTGTCGCCCTTCTCACCTGCAGCATCAACCTTGCTTCCCATGTCGTTGGTAGATTGAATCTTGGATCGCTTCGCTTTCCCCAGCGAAGTCGCCAAAAAGTGTGTTGACGTCGGATGTGATCCGAATCACACACCAGCAGGGCTAGCACGCCCAGGGAGTTGCAAATCAACCCACAACCAGCAAGAACGTGAGCGAACCGACGAAACCGATCTAGAGACCGGTTACGCCAATTTTAGGCTCGTTCTATGCGTAGGAAACTCCCGAACACCTCCCGGGATGACCCGTCGGGGAGGAGCACGTGGAGGGCGTCCTAGGACTAGCAAGGCCGCCTAAAACAACGCCAAATCTCATCGGGAGACGTAACGAACAACAAGATAGAGAGGAGAGAGGGTAAAAGGGGTTGTAGATGTGTTTTTTGACGATTAAGGGTTGGATCCTTCAATCGGCCGTGATCTTCTCATATATATATAGAAGGGGTGGTCTTATCCCAATAGAAAACAATTTCAAATCATAATCTTCAAGTTTTCTATCAAAAATCTTGTCCAAATCCCGATCAAAATGAGTCCTAGTCGGTTTGGAACAGGCAAACCGGCTTAGGCCGGTTTTCACGGGGCTTGGACACCCACAAGTGCAAGCAAACCGCCCTGGCTGGTTCAAACCGGACTAGCCGGTTCTGCTGCAGTCCGGTGCAGAAAATCTTTCAAAAATTATAATTAATTTATCCGGACTCTAAACGAGGCAAACCATATATGTTTTCCGATCAGCTCGACGAGAGAAACGCAATGGTGCAATCAAATCATGCATTTGAGGAACTTGCCCAAACTGGCCGGTTTGGGAACCGGCCTGGCCGGTTCCAGCAGGGTCAGCAGCCCTGAAATGCCGTTTCTTCGTCCGGGCTCCAAATGCGATGATCCAAATATGTTTTCTCACCATCTCGACGATAGAAATATGATGACGGAGTCCATTATATGCTTTGGCTACTTTAGGTTGTCAACAGTGGTTTACTTCAGTGAGGTTGAGCAGTTTGACAATTCTTGCTGCCAAAGCTAGAGATTAGAACCGATGAGGCATCTTTAAGTTGAGCTTGCACATATAAAGCTAGATGATGAATTGGAAGGGGAAAAAAAAAGCTACTCAGAAGAATACAAGGAGTAGCGATGGGTGTGTGCTAGAAATATGTAGACTCCCCCCTGCATCCCCAATGTTAGGGGTTCATGCGTTTTACAAGTGTGCAAATCCAACCAGTATGTGTTGCCCATAGCCTCTATCGCGTGAGATGCAGAGACTATTTTAGAGTTCAGACTTTAGACTTGTTCAGAGTTACCTCAGTTTCATAATTAAGCTAGAGGTGAGGAGGTGATTACATCAGTCGATACACCTCATTTTATCTAGCATGGCACTATTGACTATTCAGTTACTCATACTGAACACACCACAGGTTCACAGACAGAAACCATCAAGTACTACACTTTAGCCGCTTATTAGCTAGGAGTATTACACAGCACTTTATTCAAGCTTTGACAAATACTCCTATATTGGTTACTACTGGATCCCAAACTACAGGTGCAACTAGTCGAAAAAAGAAAACACTACAGGTGCAACTTGCGGTATTTATATTACTAGTAATTCTTATTATTACAACAGACACCGGAAAATGAATACAGGAAAGTACAGTTTCTAGCAATACCGAGACACCGAAAAATGAATACTATAAGAAAGTACAGTTTCGAGTAATAGCTGGTAGCACCATGGTATTCAAGTACACTAAACTGCTAGTAGCTTAGAACTGAATTCACTTTTTTTGTAAACACAGAATAAACATTACAACTGCAGTATAGCACGGTGAGCTCTGGTGACGCTAAACAGTGTTTTTTCGGCCCAGTAAATTTATCCAGGCTACCCTCCTGTACATGGATGGCAATATAATGATCGCTCCATCGAGGAGATGAAACCGAAGTGATCTTAAACACTAGAGGCCGGAGTAGCGCTTCATATGTGATTATGTGAAGTGCCCAGCTGGCAATGGATCGTGTAACCTTTTGCATATCTGTTCATGGTGTTGCTTTGCTCCTGTGTGGTCAAACGCGTACATCCTATAAATATATAAGATTTATGAAATGAAAATGGCGCAGTATTAGTTTACCGCTTGTTTTCAGTGATTTGACCGTGATCGTTGAGTCACTGAGTGAACAATAATCATGATAACCAGATATGTAAACATCGGATGTCTGCTCTGTAATTCAGTTAAACGAACCCACCCATGCTACTCTGTGGAGTCCTACTCATTTCATGGTGCCAGGTAATAGTTACATAATGTGCCTATAAGCTTAAAAGGAACCTATGCAACCAATCCTCTGGTTATCAGTATCTTTAACTTCCTTACCAATGAACTAGTATTAATAACACGTGCTCATGCCCCTGATGAGTTACAGGATGAACAAATTTCAGTGATCCCTTGACGTTTAAGCTAAATCTCAAAATCTTGCCACCTTTAGTAGTTCACTTAAATTTCACAATTCAGTAACATTTGATGCCTCTGATCCTAGTAGTATGCCGCTGATGTTCCATGATCTTAGCTTGCTAATATTAATGTCTATAATATTTCCTGGTTCTTTGCATCACCAGGTTGGTCTTTTTAATTCACGCAAGAGCACCATTTCGATATAATCGAAAATTTCAGCACACAATTCTAGTATCTTTAATATGTGTAGACATTATACCATAGAAGAGTATGATTTAGAATGCAGTGGTAGCAAAGGCTACAATTCTTCTTATATTTCTAACCTAAGAATCTATTTGTGGCAGACTGGCAGTCTTTGTTTTTTCTCACTATCCTCTAAAGAAACAGTCCTTGCACTTTTGCTGAAAAAGACATAGTATAACAATTTTATACACTCTATAGCCCTAGATTGAATAAGAGTTCAGGAACTGCTAATAAAAACTAGAGCCCTTATCCAATCTACTAATGCTACTTTTGAGTTACTATCCTCTAAGGAAACAGTCCTTGCACTTTTTGCTGAAAAAGACATAGTATAACAATGTTATACACTCTATAGTCCTAGATTGAATAAGAGCTCAGGAACTGCTAATAAAAACTAGACCCATTATCCAATCTACTAATGCTGGAATTGTAGTTGAGAGTATTTTGGTGTAAATTATAACAACTAGCAACGGATAGATAGAGCTCTTGAAGCGTTTTGACTATCTCACCATATCATCATCCTGTAGGACATGATGTTTATATAAGACAATTACTTTCAAAAAAATGTTTATATAAGACAAAAACATGCTCTGGAGTCTGGACATGATCCTTATGCAGGATCAAGATCGCCTAGACTTGCAAGCAGTACTATTTTGAAGTTAGCTTGTTTGCACCAGCAGCAATATCTTGTTTTATCCGAAAAGCACTGGCACAGTTCAATGCACTACTCTACTCGTCTGTCTACCTGCTGCTTATCAAGATCTGGAAGGGCCAGACACAAATTCGATCATCAGAGAGCTTTTCTTGTTAGAAAAAAATGTAACGTATCTTGATCGTCAGGACAGGGAAAATTAGGCCGGGCTCAATAGTGTATTGGACAATTTAATCGAGCGGAAAGAGACTACTCATCTAAGTTAAATCTTCAAAAAAAAAAAGAATACAGTGTTTTTTTCCACCTCGGGGAAACCCAGATTTCATTACTTGGAAGCAACGAAATTACAGAGTTTACAGCCATTACTCCAATCACCCTGGGGTCAAGAGCAAGGCGACCAAAATAGCCAACATACCATTCAGCTTACATAGCACCGGCATTAACAAGGGCACTACAAAAGCAAAGCAGATTACAGCACTCAGGCTATTCTCAGACCCTTCGGAACCCAGCTTGAACAAAGGGCCTGTCCTAGATCATTGGCTGCTCCTTGCTTGCTTGCGCTTGTTAATGGGAATGGAGAGCATTGGTCTTCAAGATTTCCACAACTTGCTCTACTTGTGGTATGAGGTCCTTGTTTTGGAGCCCTGCCAAATATGAGAGAAAAGAACACATCATGCATACACTCTCAGCAGGAGAAATCACTCGTTTTTTTTTCAAAGCAAACAGATGCTTTCCAGAGAGACTAGCAAACTGCGGCCAAAAAAACCAAGTACATATGTTTTGCATGCAGTAGACTGTACTTTATACATTCCCAAAATTGATATAAAAAAATCCATGCCCAAAATTGATAAAAAAACATCACTATTAGTTGCTCTTTTCTGATTTCATATAAAAACAGAGGGGAATCTGAGAGAGAGAAATGTGGAGCGGCCACCTACTGCTGCTGGCTTACTTCTTACATTCGGGTTCAACATAAGACTGGCCGTTACCCTCGCATCATTCTGAGACAAGGTGCGTGCAAGGGCGCAAGGGCCAGAACGACGACAACTATCAGCGCTGGAGTAGAACAGTGACACTAGCAGAGACGATACAGGGAAAAAATGGAAGACAACAGATTTGCACGGCGCAGCGAAGATATTATCTCCTCCACCGATTGGACTCGGAATATCTTTCTGGCCCATACACAATTACAGGTGCACTGGCCCTGCTACGAACGCCGGGGCGCAACAAGGCCACACCTAGCTTTCTAGTATTACTACTAGTTCCAGACTTGTGGGTTTGGGGGCAAGTGGGCAAACCAGAAACAAATGTATGTATCATCTGAATTCCAAAACGCAAAACACTAATATTACAGGTTAATCTACCGCAAATATCACATTGCATCAGTGGAAAGAGTGAATGATGAAATGCTCATGGCTAGCTAGTTTTCTTGCGGCAATCAAACAAGGCATAGTAACTTCCACATGCTCAAAATACAATGACTTCCACATGCTCAAAATACAAGTTGCTGGACAATGCATAAAACCAATCACACAATACTAGCATATGAAATGGATGGATTGATTGGTAGAACAGAAGGGGCTACTTACTCACTCAGCATGACATAGGCAACTCAGAAGATGCCGCCGCTGCGAGCAAGCTCGAGGATGTCCTCATGACCGGTGGTTGGAAGAGGAGCGGTGGGGATCATGAGCACGATCCTGACGAGAGGGTCAAGTTCGGGGCTAGGGCTGGGGCTCGGCGTCGGCGTCGGCCCTTGCGCTAGGGCTGGGGCTAGGGCTGGGGCTAGGGGAGGAAGAGGGAGAAGGGGAAGGCTGGGTCTGGGTGAAGGGCACGGAGCACATGGCGATGCCGTCCTCCCCCTCTCCCGCCTGGCCTTGCTGGCTTTGGCCCTGCCTCCGCGGATCCTGCTGTGTGAGAGGCGGCGTGCTGAATACCTCGGCCTCCTCCTCAACGGCGCCGCCGCCGCCGCCGCCGCCGCCAAGGAAGTGGGCGCGGGCGAGGAGGTCCGTCTGCGAGGCGGAGATGTGGCCGCAGTCCGCCTCCGCCTCCGCCTCCTTCCTCCCGAACTCTAATGCGCTCGCACCGGCATCCGCGTCCCGAGCGGAGGCGGAGAAGTGGCTGTGTGGCTCCGCCGGGTAATGCGGAAGGACGCCTCGGGGAGCGCGAAGGTGGTGAGGAGGGGGCGTCGGCGATGGGCCGCTTCGACGGGTCGAAGTTTACTGGGCTGGGCCTCTCGTTCTGTCTGCTTTTTTATGCAAATTGTGCCGCCCGTCTGGCCGTCTAGATCCCACCGAGGAGACAGGAGAGGCGCTGCCCTGCGCGGCGCCCTGTCGCCGAGGGAGGCCACGACGAGGCAGAGCTCCTCCATGGGCACCACGACGACTGCAGAGAGGAAGGAGAGACGAAGGAAGAAGATTTGCTATACGCCGGCGCAGGAGATGCATGGAAAGCAATAACAGCGACGCTTGTTTCAGACTTGTTCAGAGATCACTATTTCCATCTCGACTTTCTTTGCTGCTGCTAGTTGATCACGAATTCACAAGCAAATCATCAAGCATAAAAATAATCAAAAGCATATAGCAAATCTTGCAGCTCGCGTCTTAATCTAGAGGTGGTGACTGGTTGACATATCTCATTTTACCCACCACATTCAGTTCCTCGAACTGAACACGGCAAAAGAGTACACTTCTTCAGCAGCGAACACAACACGCCTATTCAAGCTTTACGCACAAATAGAAATACCACGGCATCCCAGACCGCATCTGCCACTTGCAGTATTGTCATTCTAACAACAACAGTTGTTACCGAGACACACCATAGAAAGAAAAAAATTACTAGAGTACACTTTCCAGCATTAGCTGATACCCAGCATGGTTATGCGCACTTATGCAACAGAAGTACTCTAAGTGCAAGGCATTGAGGCTCCAACTTCTAAGTGCTAACAGCAACATTTGCAAGCATCAATATGAACGTTGTCACAACCCTTCGCCTGTTGTTGCTATTACTATCAACTCCACTCTGCGGCTTTCCACCGGAGCTGGATCCACCACTGCCACTGCTGCTACCACTACCGACTAAGATGACCACCTCCTTCACAAGAGAGAGAGAGTATGATGACAACCTTGCTGTGGCGGAGGCGAAGTCACAGGCACAAAATGCTGCCCTGCAGGCCGTGGCCTGGCAAAACACCAAGGGAAAATACAAAATACGAATAAAAGATGGAAATATCACTGCAAAAGCTCAAAATTCTTCCACTGCGTTTATGAAACCGAAATGGTCTCCTCAGGGCGTTCGATGCTCCGGACGCGTCCCTCCTGGACTTGCGGAGTCCAGTATGGAGCCAGCTCCCGACTTCTCCGTAAAAAAATAAATGTTGATTCCCCATTCCTCCTGTCGCGGCCTTTCTTTCACCGCGTGCATGCGTCTTCCATGGCTGACTCCACCGCACCGCTCACCTTCCTAGCGCGGGGGACGCTCTCCGCTGGCAGCTCAGTCACCTCCACCGCGGGGGACCGCACCGGGCCCCCTCTATCGCCTGGAGACGCGCAACAGCTCGTGGTGGCCGCCCAGCCGTTCGTCGGGCCCATGCAGCCGCCACGCCCGCTGGCACCCCACCACCACCACATGCGCGCCGACATCGAGCTCCACGTCGACGAGCCTCCATTCGTCCAAGCAGCAAATAGATGGTACGCTGAAAGCGCATGTTGCAAGATTATGTTTCAAGTATTTCAAATGTTTAAGAGGTATGTTGCAAGTGTTGTATATCGATGTTGCAAAAGTAGATCGGAATGTTGCATATGTTTTAATGGCTATACACGTATGTGAAAGGTCTTAATGGCTAGAGGGGGGTGAATAGCCTAATAAAAATTTCTACAACAACACTCAACAAAAGGGTTAGACAATTATGAGGCGAAGCAAGTGTTGCGCTAGCCTACTCAAAATGCAAGCCACCTACCACAATTCTAGTTTAGGTAGAATCTATTCATACAATAGCTATGACACTACTCTATGTTAGTGTGCTCTCAAAGGCTAACTAAAGAGCCACACCAACCAAGCAAACAAGCTCTCACAACTAACTACACTAAAGAGTTTGACAACTAGCTTGCGGTAATATAAAGAGAGTGATCAAGAAAGTTATACCGCCGTGTAGATGAAGGCACCAATCAATCACAAGGATGAATAACAATGAAGACCAATCATCTCGGAATCAATGATGAACACAATGATTTTTTACCGATGTTCACTTGCTTGCTGGCAAGCTAGTCCTCGTTGTGGCGATTCACTCACTTGGAGGTTCACGCGCTAATTGGCTTCACACGCCAAACCCTCAATAGGGTGCCGCACAACCAACACAAGATGAGGATCACACAAGTCACGAGCAATCCACTAGAGTACCTTTTGGCGCTCCGCCGGGAAAAGGTCAAGAACCCCTCACAATCACCACGATCGGAGCCTGAGACAATCACTACCGTCCGCTCGACGATCCTCGCTGCTCCAAGCCGTCTAGGTGGCGGCAACCACTAAGAGTAACAAGCGAATCCCGCAGCGAAACACGAACACCAAGTGCCTCTAGATGCGAACACTCAAGCAATGCACTTGGATTCTCTCCCAATCTCACAAAGATGATGAATCAATGATGGAGATGAGTGGGAGGGCTTTGGCTAAGCTCACAAGGTTGCTATGTCAATGCAAATGACCAAGAGAGTGAGCTTGAACCGGCCATGGGGCTTAAATAGAAGCCCCCACGAAATAGAACCGTTGTACCCCTTCACTGGGTAAAACGCGGGGTGACTGGACGCTCCGGTCCAATCGACCGGACGCTGTCCCTCAGCGTCCGGTCACGTGATTCACGCGCACGTGTCCCCTGCTTCAAATACTGTTCGTCAGATTTCAACAGTCATCGGCTGACTGGACGCGTCAGTTAGAAAGTGACCGGATGCTGGAGCTCAGCGTCCGGTTGTTTCCAGTAAGGTTCCAAACGCGAACTTTCACGACCGGACATGTCCGGTCATGTCCGACCGGACTCACTATCGATGCGGGACCCACAGGATACCCTGCCAGGAAGGGAGAAGATCTAGTCCAACTAGGATTCTTCCTATGTAATCCTAGTAGTAGTATTATTCTGTAATCCTACTAGGAACTCTTATTGTAAACCAACTAGGACTCTGATCTCCTAACTATATAAAGGAGGGCGGGGTTCCTAGGGATACAACACAACAACAGAAAAACACACAATCAATACAACGCAAAGGCTAACGCGACTGGATGTAGGGCTATTACTCGATCAGCGATCGAGAGTCCGAACCAGGATAAATCTATTATCTCTTGCGTTCACCGTCGAGTTCCGCATACGCTGAAGCCCAAACATACTGCCCCGGGGACCCTCGTGGCAGGCTATCGGTGGTCAAACATCGACAGCTGGCGCGCTAGGTAGGGGCTTTCGGAGAATTTGCATCCGAGAGCTCGATGGACCTCGACAACATGATCTTCTCGACGGGATCAACCTTCATCTTCGGCTCGTGGGTCTGCGAGGCTGGCGACGATGGCAAGCTTCAAAGCCGTCTCCTTGAAGATTCGGATCACCACGAAGATGTTTTTGTTTCGACAACTACGACAGATCAAGTCACTGGAAGATTCGCGCAGCTCGTGATGTTCGATTCAACTCAGGTTTCGTGACTTTGCGCATCCGACTTGAATTTAGGCTCCGCATCCGAGATGGAGTCTGACCCGAGTTCTTTTCCAATGGGGCTGCAGAACGCGGCCTCGGCATATCAAGAATACAACTCGGAATGCACTCATAATCCCTTTAAGAAGTCGGATCTTTTCCCGTTTGGACTCCACAACATGGCAAAGTCTTACCAAGCACAGCTCGAAGGATCCCTCGACCCAGTGCTTAGAATGCCACTAAATGGAGCTCAGGAAGGTCTCGTACTAACTATAACATCTAAAGACTGCATCATCCACTGGCCAGGCTCTATTCCTGAGGATAGCAGTACCCGACTGGTCGGCACGACGACAACAGCAATTCTACCCTACCAAGAAGGAGACTCAATCTATGACCTTGAAGCCTCTACTAAAGTTATCAGCAACCCCGATAGTATAGAAACCAACGCCAATAATAGAACAGTTCACACACGGGAAGTACTCATGGTTCGCCGTCCTCGATCACCATTGATGCCCCCAGAAGCACTCGACGTTAGGTCATCAGATGAATCTGAGTCCAACATATCACCCTTTGCTCAAGGCTATGATGGTGAGACCGAGAATCAAAGGCAAGCCAGAGAAAGAAGAAACAAGTTGAAACAAGGACGCCAGCGACGTGCTAGGCAGCGCAAGGAAGCTTGGATCAAATATGAGTCAGATCTGGTCAAATACAACAGGAGAAAATCATAACAAGAAGTCGAAGAAAGACGTGCGACGAACACACCCTACAACAGGATTCGAGAAGCACTTGAAGAACTCGGAACGACCTCACATCCCAATGAACAGTAGGAACAGCTCCGGGAACTTCTCCGGACAGCAGCCCTAAAGACACATGATGGAAGAACCCGTTCAAGACTACCCGCAAGATCAACATCTCATAGGAAGGAAGATCAAAATCAGAGGAAGTCTGTATTCGAGAGACTTGGACCAAGTGGAAGTCACAACAGAGAAAGCAGGAGGGACCACAGTCAAAACCACCGAGGCGAACAACCAAGATAGATCAAAAGCAAAGCACCCATTCGGACAGCCCCACAGAACTACTCTTGCCAAAACGACAGCTGGCTGGAAGGAGGTGCTGAATCAAAATACAGAGAAGCCAGGACGCACGATAGATTCCCCTGTTTTGCAAGCAGTCTTGCTTCAATACGACTACCGCACAAGTTCAAACCGTCCAACCACTCTAAATATGATGGCAAGACCGAACTAAGGCAGTGGCTCAGAATCTACTCACAATCGATTGAATTGGCTGGAGGAGACGACGACATCAAGACCTTGTTCTTTCCTATGGCCCTAGAAACCATGCCCCTCCAATGGTTCGACAAATTGAATCCAGGGTCAATCAGAAATTGAGAGGACTTGCAAAGAGCTTTCTGTGAAAATTTCACGGGTATCATTACGCACCCAATCACCCACGTAGAATTAAAGGGACTCAAGCG